CCTTTAGGTGAACCTTGTCCATTTGTTCTTGTCTGTCATACATCCTTTTGTTTAGCGTTTTCTTTTGTTTAAATTTGTTTTGCCTTTAGGCGAACCTTGTTTCTTTGTTCATCTATTTAAACTTTTTGTATGTCCTTCTGTTTTGTGTTTGCCATTTTTTAAATTTGTAGTTTCACTTGCAGGTGAACCTTGTTTATATTGTTTTAATTTTTCTCGTCTGTCAACCTTTGTTTTTTCATTTGTATTATTATTAATTTTGTTGTCTCACTGTTAAACGAACCTAGTTTATTTCATTTTACATTTTTTTTGTAATATTTAATTTTTCTCATATTTTTATTTTTGTACATTATTGTCCTTTTTTTCTTTGCCTATAAAACGTAACTATTTTTCCTTTTTCACCCTTCCCCTTCCCGCTGAAAATGGAGAAAAAAGAGTCACCTCTTTTTTAATTATCAAAAAGAAATTGACAAGCATACGTGCAAAATTTGTTGAAAGACACAGTGGTTTAAACACTGGAGTCCCAGGGGTTTAAGCCTCTGGGAATTGTTAAGGACTTGGGCTATTTTATGTGGGACATATTGCTACCCACACTTGAAGATTGTGTCAAAGTGACAAGCAGAGAAATCATAACAAAAGATATAATTCTGTGAACCGAGTATGTAGAAAGGACAAGGACAAGTGATATATGAGGTCCATCCTCAGGTTATTGGGGAACAGCTGGCGGCTTTCTTGTCGCAGTATGGTGAAATACTAGGTGCTTCCTGCAATAGCTTGATCGGAGCATGGAGTTTTGACATCATGTTAGACAGAAAAGCCTTCCTCTCCATCCCCAACTGTCTGGAAGTTGAGGGCCTGAAGTTGCCGGTCATTGTGACTAACCGCTAACCAGTGCGTTGTAAGTGTGGAGAGACTGGTCACCTCTCCTCTTCCTGCCCAGAGAAGAAGGCCTCTGGAAGTCAGGCCCCAGTCGACCAAACTCCCCTTCTGACTGTCTTTGAATACCACCTCGCCTGTAATGGGCATGCCAGCTTCCGGGACCGGAGTGGAGAAACCCCTGGTTGGGTCAACATCTAAGCCCCCATTTCCCGAAGAGCTTTTGCCCACTGCAAGTGCAGTTGTGGAGAAAGGCCAGAGCCAGAGGGAAACACCAGACAGTGGGTCCTCAGTCCCCCAAAGCCCCTGGGATGAAAGGCACTGACAGTCCCACTCCCTCTGTCAACATTAAGGGCAATTCCCCCGTCAACATTAAGGGCAATTCCCCCGTCTCTCAAAATACTCTACAAAAAAATATGACGCTGCGTTTGAAAAAACCGAGAAAATAAAATTAAAAGAAAAGCTAGATAAACAACGCCAACAAATGACTTCCCCCACTAAAAAGGCTACTCCCTCCACATCCTCAGCCCCACATTCCTCCATCCCTCTACACCAATCAGTACAGACTCCAGTCAGCACAAGACCTCCTTTGCCAAGAAGGCGACTCCCTCCACACCCTCTACCTCATTACATCTTTCCCATCCCTTAACCTCTTTTAGTAGAAGCCAAGAATTGCCATCTCCCTTTAAAAAGGCCATTCCCTCTACATCTTCTATTCATCCCATCCCTCAACCCCTCTCAGTAGAGACCCCAACCCTTTCAAACAAAACCACACTCCTCTCCAAACTCCCAGTCCTTCCCCCATTAAAGCTTCTGAAATGCCTCCTCCGTATTTCCCCGGCCCAGGCAGATAGAGCCTGTGACTATGGTAATAGAATCAAGGACCTAAGGTACCTCCTCTCTGTTAAACACTATGCTGACAGAGATGTCGAGGATCCCCAAAACTTCCCCAATGCGCAACGAGTGTTGACAGTCATAAGAACTGGGACAGGTGCAAGACAGGCATGGGCAATGCTGGACGAGGCTATAACATCATTTAAAATGTGCCCACACATCACCATTGTCGAAAATCCAAGCTTGAAGAAATTGAAACAATTTTGTGCTGGGAGGGTCTCTGTTTTTGTTCACCCCTCCCTCTATAGAGCACTAAAGTTATATGTGACCCTTAGTGCGCTGGTGGGGGTGAATGGAGTATGATCAGAGCCTTTCATATTGTCTTGCTCCATTTGTCAAGGTTGTTGGCTTTCGCCTTTGCTTTACATTCTTGCATTGGAACCTTTCCTTCGCAATTTAAAGGCGAATCCAGTCCTATGCAGAATTTCCCTACCTGGTGCTACCACCTCGCACAGGTATCCCACCTATGCTGATGACATTTCGGTTCTTGTGTCGAGCAGGGCCGAAATTGATGAAGTCAGCAAAGAAATCAATGGTTATGAGATGGTGACAGGGGCAAAGATCAACTGCGATAAGTCTGTTGGCTTGCAGTTGGGTGCGTGGAAGAGAGTTTCTATTCATGGACCTTTCCTCTAGATGGATGGGCTGGTCAAGATTCTCGGTGTCTGGTTCGGTCCTGATCTCCAGTTGGAAATGAATTGGTCGGAAGTGCAAGAGAAGGCCGAGATCGCAATTAATTCGTGAACTTGGAGGAATCTTTCCTTAAAGGGGAGGGCGGAAGTATGTGTTTCAAACATCTACCCAATTCTCCTTTACTGATTCTCTGTGCTTCCACTTCCGTCTGATACTTTACTGGCATTAGTGAGGCTCGTTCCCCTTCTTGTGGGGAGGCAAGGCTGCCAGACTCTCTCGGGAGATCTGTTGCCTTCCTCCATCTGAAGGCAGTCTAGGTATGCCTAGCATTGAGATTCGTCAATATATGCTTTGCATTGGGTTCCTGGATCAAATGTATCACGAATTGGATGAGTTTGGCACCTTCTGGAAGGAAGAACTTCCCATCCTTGAGAAGTGTGCGCTTGTGAGAGGAGGAGGCCCACCGTTTACCCCAAGTCAAGTGTTCCTTCTACTGTGAATGTCGTCGTGCTGTGAAACGCCTTTTATGGGTGTCAGATGGCCTCTCCAACGTCCATGCGTTGTCTCGTAAGTGATTATATCAGGTGGTAGTTAGTGGGGCTGTTCATGATGAACTGATTGATGAGCTCGGTCTGATGAAGTGGGAGGCTCGCTCAGTATGTCCTTGGGCGCATGGGTTGAAATGTCTCAATAACAATGAGGCATCACTCACCTGGCCGATGATGCATGGGGCCCTCTGGGTCACCAATAGACTTTGTACAGCAGGCTTGGAGAAATATCCAAACTGCCGGCACTGTAGTGGGGAAGTCGAGACCATTGGTCACACCTTCTTTTATTGCAGGGTGGTAGTACTGTTGTGCAGGTATGTTGAAAGGCCTCATGGTTCGCATGCTGCCTAGAATGTTCTTTGTCCTTGATGCCACTTCTGTTTGTAGCAATGTGGCTCCGCCACTGACGAAGGTTGAACATTATGTGTTCTTATGCTTGCTAGGTGTTATGAGAGTCATGATTTGGATGACACGTTAGAAGAGATTCTATGAAGGCGAGAAGTTCACTTCTTCCCAGCTAATCTTGTACTTTAAGCATCAGCTTAAAGTCAAGATTAGGTTGGAACGGCAGCGTCTCACTTCATCAGTATTCAGCAAAAGGTGGGTGAATCTTGTGTGTTTGTGTTGTGTGAAAGGGGCTGAGCTGGAGTGGCAATTTGATGCCGCTTAGGCATCAGGATATTGCTTTACCTGGGTTGAACATGGGCAACCCATCCCAAAATTAGGTTAGCTTAGGTTTGGTTTTTTTTAATTTTTTTAGTTTCTTTTTTTTCAATACACTTAGCTAGGGTATGTATGCTCATTGGCTCCTTTTATTTCTGTCCCTATTTTTCTTTAAGTTTAATTCCTTATCCCTTCCTTCATTAGGTGGTCAGTGATGTCAGTTCTCTGGTGGATGCAGGGCGTCTTTCGTTTCATGTGTGTGTTTTCATATTTGTTGTATCTGAATGAGTGCATGTCTGTGTAAGTGCTTGGGCTGAATGAATGTTTTATTTTATCATCGTCCCGCATTAATTTTGTCCAGTTAACTGATGTTTCTGCCACATTTAGTGATTGTGCAGGTTTTTTATTACTAACATGATTTTGTTTAGTTTCTTGCAAATAGTTTATATTTCATATTATAAATACTCATTGGGGCTAGTTTTTAAAATTTTTAAATTGTTGTTTTTATTCCCCAGATGATATATTGTACATATCGGTACTAGTTAGTATTTTCATGGAAACATTGAGGTATTATGGTGTATGTGGTGAGAAAGGTAAGTAAGAATGTGTTGTTTTGGTTCAAGGAATATTGTAAGTATGATTGGGTCAGCGTTTGTGGCTAGCTAAGTTTAAAGTTAAGACAGAAGACCGACCTTTTCTCCATTCCCCATTTTGGCCTTGTGCCACATTTTCTGTTTTATTCAGGAATAAATATCCTCAGTCCACATCTGCCGAGTCAGGCAGTCCACTACCAGGCTAGTGGCTGCTTTGTCAAATTCTCTGCCAAAGGGCAGTGTCAGGTCTGGGGAGGTAGACCAACCTGACCCTGTGTATGCGGGGTCTACAGTGAATTTTTTCCTGAGCTTACAGGCTTGGAATCGCCCACATAAAAATGGCCTTGTGCCACATCCTGCCTTGTGGAGAGGCTAAGGTAAATAACCTCAGTCCGGATGTCTTAACTACTAAACAGACTTACTGTGTTCGCTTGTCTGACCTTGCTTTTGTATACAAACACCAACTCAGTTTGTGAATTCTTTTACCTTCTTACCTGTTTGATTTGCTTTAACTATATTGTTTACTTGCTTGCATGATTGTTGATATTTCATCCTTTTTAACCTATTTTCTTTTCATTGGAAACTTTATTAATTCTGTTCATGTTATTTATCTTGCATTTTGATAATGGCTTCTAACTCACCATTATAAAATTGATTTTCATTTAGTTCATTAAATTTGGAACGATTTTCTTTTTTCAAATAATTTTGGGGAAAAGTCATTCAACTAGATTTGCATTCAGTACAAATTAATTTCCTCAACTCATTAAATTTTTTTTCTTTTTTTGTCTACTTTCAGATATGACTTACTCTGTCTGGAAGGACTGGCTCGTGGGTTGCTTGTTTTTCTACAAAAGTAAGTTAATGCATTGTTCTAGGAAGATAAAAGTCAAAGTGCTTCTTGCTTTATAAAACTTATTATAACACTTGCATTGCATAGCTAAGGCATTTGATAAAATTTTGGATGTGTTTTTTTTTCTTTCTTTCAGAATTGAGGCTCCTATTTACACTAGGGTTGAAGCTGCTGATGGTCAAGGCCAGAAATTAATCATTAAACCAGAGGTAAAGACAAATAAGACCATTTTCTGCTTTTAATTTTTATGAACTGCAAATATTCCATCCACACTCGATGTTTGTTGCTTTCAATTCTGTGCAAGAAAAAATCTCTTTGCTTTTGTAGACTGGCCAAGTGCGTCCACACTGTGTTGCAGCTGTCTTACGAAACATTACATTTAACAGGGTGAGATTTATTTTTGTTGCTTTTACTCATGATTAATCACTTCAACAGTTGTAAAAAAAAAACCAAAAAAACCCAAAGGCATCCTTTCTCATAGAAGTTTTGACTTTTCTTCTAAGAGAATGTTTCTTTCTTTTGTTGAATGGTTTGGAAAATAAAATTTTTCTCTCATAAGATTTCCAAAAAGGTTTTTGTAATTCTAAGATGATCTTTGGAAAGAGAAATAATAAGATACTAATACACTGTCTTATATTTAATATGTATAGAAAGATATTTTAATATAAGTATACAAGATATTTTAAGACATTTTTATGTTTATACAAGATATTATTTACATTCAGTTTGTTTTCATTTGTTGTAATCATTACCTTTTGGGTGTTGTGCCCTACTTTAGGAGTTTGTTCTTTGTGGAGTTTTAAATTAAACCCTTTATTTAATATACTCCTGTAGGTTAAATAAAGTCTATGTCTAGGAATATCTCATTTAGTTTTGTGTGTCCCATTCCCACTGAGTTTCAGTCCCTACTACTCAGCTCAGAGATTGAACTCGGTTACTATATCAGATTTCTGAATTCAAAAATCAGTGCTTCAATCCACTACTCTGTTGTCTCATGGGACACTCCTAAGTTTAGAACTTGGTATCTTAACCCCAATCTAGCTGCTCTTTATGCTTGACTGCATTCACCAAGACTCTTTTCTTAATGTTGCTTCTATTTCTCTTTTATTTATTAATGACATATTTCTATGCTAGGGCCTACTGAGGAGGCTTTCATAGCTTAGCATATATTCTGATTACTTCAGACACCTGGCTCTCCAGCATTACTTCATTTCATAGGGGTTGGTTTTTTCCCTTTATACATGATTTCATTTCTTCATCCTTAATTACAGCTTTTCAATATTCTTCCAGCCTTACTTTCAGTAGGCAGCTGGTATTACCTTTGTTTTTTGACATGACTGCAATACATGGTTTTTGGTTATGGTCTTCTCTGTGTTAGGCTGGACTCTGCAGAGGTTTCTCTATAAAGGTCAAGCGGATTCTGAACATTGTTTTGATGTTGTATGGATCACAGGTCTTCTGAATCCTTTCTGATAAGCCCTAGACATAAGGAAGATAGACTCTGGTAGTTTTCCAATCTTCTGTTCCAACTTGCAGAGACTACTGTTAAATTTTAAAGATTGTTGTTCTCAAGCTGTTTGATGATTCTTGTTAGTATGTATCATAATATTCCTAAACATGGGCAGTGGAGTGAGAATAATCTACTCTTTCCGATTAAATAAAAGGTTCTGTTTGAAATTTTCTGAAGGTTATCTGGATTGACACACACCTGAAGGCCAGAGTGCACAACAGCTTTTCAGCTGTTGTGCATTCTGACCTCAGGTGTTTGTGTGAGATAATATCATTTACATGTGGACTTGATTTTATAATGACACTGGATTGAAATGTATTGTTGAATGTTGATGATCAATCCTGTCTTAGATGAGCACCATTTTGCAACTGATATAAATTTCTTCCAGTTCTGTTGATGAGAACCATCATAATAAAATTACCAAAACTTTTAACTGAAACAACTTTGTTTTATGGAGAAAAAAAATGGATTTTGCTTTGAGGATAATTTTCCAAGATTCTCTCCAACTTTCAGACAATCACATGATTTTAATTAATTTTTTTCCCCAAGTTGACTATTAATTTATTGAAAATAGCAGAGAAATCTTTTTTCAAGTGATGGCTTTTCCTTTAATTTCAGGAACGATACAACAGTTTCATTGATCTCCAAGAAAAACTACATCAAAATATTTGCAGGTAAACTTTACATTTCTCTGTTCAGTTGATAATAGTTTTTTTTTTTTTTTTTCCTCCAACACTATTCCATGAATCTTGCAGTACAAAACTGACAAATTTTTTAAAGTTTTGTGCTAGAATAAATAAAAGACAAAATTAATTTTCAAGTCATTTCTACTTTCATGTATGATTAAATATCTTTCTTGTGAACCCAAACCATTTTGTTAATGAAAATTTCTTTTATACTTTCAACTTAATTTGGTACAAAAAGATCAGTTTGCTCAACAGTTTCATTGATTAAACTCTCTACTCAAGCTTAGTGAACCTTACACCATGTTTTTTTTTTCCTGTAATAATCTCTACTCATTGTCCAAAGTGAATTCTTTTCAGTTTAAAGTTCCTCTTTATTATGTAGAATTCAATTTGGCAAAGGTGGCAGATAAGCAATTTGCTAATTCCATGTCAATGCTAGCATCATTTAATTTTTTTTTTATTCAATTCCCCACCCCAAGCCAATTCAAATATGCTCTGCTTGATAATCACTACTTTTTTTTTTTTCAGCAGCAGGTTTTCCCCCCACATGGTACAAAATAGGTTTTATATATAATGTGTGTGTGTATTAAATAACCAAAAAATCTTTTTACCTCTGGTCGATAATAGACTATTTTGGTCATCTGTTTTCATGAAGTTCATGTCTAGAGCTAGAGGAAGCAGGAATTAACTTTAACAAAGTGATTTTAGAGACTAAAGAGTCAACCTAAAATTTAACTTGCTGAAAATACTTAATATGGAGTTCACACTTTTCAGTGTTTAAGTCAGACAGTAGGCACCAGACAGGGGTCAGGAAGGGAGGTAACTATTTATCTTAAAGGGGAGAAGGTGTATTAAATAATGTCTGAGATTATTGACCCTATGAAGACAATTTGGGGTTATTAGAAATAGGAAAAAATAAATTTATATTTAAAATTAAAAATAAATTTTAAAAATATACATAAGATAACAAGGACATAAGGGATTGACAGAAAAAGAATTAGGGGCATATTCTAAGTAGAGGATAGTTTATAAATTAATAAATATAATATAAAAAAAGTTTTAGAGGTGGTAGGAATTGGGGAGGGAGTTAAAGTAGCAAAAAAGGCAAAATTACACTATGGAAATTTGAATTTGTTTTTATGTCAACATTTGAACTAACAGTTTTAGAGGTAGATGTAATTTATGCTTATAAGAAAAAATTAAAATAATAAAATACAATACCAATTATTGAATGAGAGGAACAAATTAATTTTCAAATGTCGACATAAAAACAAATTCAAATTTCCATAGTGTAATTTTACCTTATTTAGCTTTAAATCACTTCTCTAAAACCTTTATTCATATTAATTATAATTTATAAACTTTCCTCTACTTAGAATAATCCCCTAATTCTCTTTGTGTTAATCCCTTACATCCTTGTTACCTTATATAATTTTAAAAATTACTTTTAATTTTAAAATTAAAATTTATTTTTTAATTTGTCTTACTCTTACTTCCTCTAGCTTTATGGACGTCACCTTCATCCCACAGTGGGGTTGAAGACAGATGATCACTTTCATCATCTGCAGAAATAGTCTACCCCACATATAAAAAGATTTTTTTGCTATTGCTCTGTATAAATAAAATACATTGACCTTTCTTTTGTGCATCAGTTTTAATATTTTTATATTACTAGGACCAACGGATTTATTTTAACTTTTACTTCATTATTTTTATATATATTATGAATTCACTTTTTTATTTGTAGAAAGCGGACATTGGTGGCAATTGGAACTCATGACCTTGATACAGTTGAAGGTCCCTTTAGCTATGAAGCTCTGCCACCATCTGAAATTGAATTCAAACCATTGAATCAGACCAAAACTTATACTGCAGTTGAATTGATGGACTTGTATGCTGTGAGTCATTTTTTCCAGCTATATATCTTTAGGGTTTTGGTTTCAATTCAGGTCTAAAATTTGTTTGTAAAGAACATCCATTCTCGTTTTAATCCAGTCACTCTTAACTGAGATTTGGAGGAAAAATAAAAATCATTGCTTAAGCCAGAATTATTTCCATATTGGAACATCAGAAAATAATTTAATTACATGTACTTACTAAGGTTGCTACAAGTATGGAGCACCCAGTGTAGATAGAATGCTTTATGCAGTCATAATGGTTTGCAAGACTAGCTTGTCAACTATTACGCAATTTAATATGTTAATTTTTTTTTTAGTATCTATTTTTTCTTATTTAATCTATATATTATGTTTTTTTTTTTTTTTTTTGTGGAGTAAGCCTTCGTGAAGTTACAAGAGGTTCATGCTGATGTAGAAGTAAATAAAAATAACCTTAATCCAAAGATAATTTCTTTAATTCACACTTTCAGTATGTACCTTAAATTTCTATAAAAACTGAACTATTTTTTTTCTGGTAGCAGTGGGAAAAAAAAAAAAATAAAAATATATATATATATATTATCATTAACAATGTTTTAAGCAAATCCCTTCTAATGCCATTTTATTCCATGAACACATATCTCCCCTCCCAACTAATTCAATCATGCATTAGTGTGTGAGTGAGAGGTGTCATACAATGGTAGTTTTTCAGATTTAATTATTGAACTATTTCTGGGGCAATTTCATTTTGCTGTTTCAGACTGACAGTCATTTGCGACATTACTTACACATAATCGAAGATGAACCACTCTACCCAGTGATATACGACAACAACAGAGTCGTGCTGTCAATGCCCCCAATTATCAATGGTAATAATTCTTTGACATTTACTTTACTAGAATCAACACAGGCTTTAAAATTTTGCTTTGATTTTTCCTTTTTTCCTCTTACCAGGTGACCATTCCAAAATCACTTTGGATACGAAGAACATTTTCATAGAATGTACTGCAAAAGACTTGACCAAGGCTAAAGCAGTTCTTGATACAGTTGTCTCAATGTTTAGTGAATACTGTGAAGAACCATATCAGTAAGTACCATTGTTATATTTGCCAAATCTGAGATTAAAAAATTATAACATTCCAGGGGGAGAAAGAAAAAAAAATAAGATAAAATAACTTTCTTTAACTTTTGTAGAATTGAAGCTGTTGAAGTTGTTCAAGTTGACGGCACCAGCTGCGTCTATCCGGTGAGTAGAAAATTATCTCTATCACTTAAGGATGTAATGAGAGATTCAGATTTTTTATAAAGAAAAAAAAAAAAGGGCAGCGATAATACTAATCTTGTTTTTTCTCTTGTAGGAACTTACTGCTCGAACAGAAACAATTGATGTAGAAACTATCAACAAGAAAGTAGGAATCAGGTAATTGACTTTCTTGTAGTAACAGAGCCACTGGAGACTTGTTTGAACATAAATGTCTGAGGTTTCTTCAAGGCACTTACAAATTACACTACAGAATCTAAAAAAAAAAAAAGCCAATTACAAATAGCGACAATTAGAAGAGTGGGCATGGCTATAAAAACTGGAGGGAATAAACTATTAACCGGTGTCAATTTTGCTCATTTTCAGTGAAGAAGCTGAATTATTGGCAACCCTTTTGACCAAAATGTGCTTGAAGAGTGAAGTCAGTGAAGATGGCAATCAACTTCTTGTCCAAGTGCCACCAACCAGAACAGATATCCTTTTAAATGATTCAGTTCATTTTCAATGAGGGGGGACAAAAAAAAAAACTAGTTTTCCTTGCAATCAATTGTTTCTACCTTGACTTATTTACATGTAATCCACGCATGCGACATAATTGAAGATGTTGCTATTGCTTATGGCTATGACAATATTAAACAAACTATTCCACAAATGTACACAGTCTCATCACAGGTAAGGATTTATCCTACTTAAAACACTTCCATTTTTCAAGGAAAGAAACAAAACTTCTATACTTTAATTTCTATTTTAGGTTCCAATAAATCGATTGGGGGATCTACTGAGAATTAATATTGCTGCAGCAGGATTTTCAGAAGTCCTTACTTTTGCACTTGTAAGTATGAGTTTCTTAAAGCTTTTTTTTTCTTTTTTTAACTGAGCAAAAACTAAATTTTTTTTTCTTTCTTTTAGTGTTCAAGAGATGACGTTGCTGGAAAACTAAGAAAAAACATAGAAGATGTGCCTGCTGTTCATATCACCAATCCAAAAACTCCTGAATTCCAGGTTGGTTATTCTTACTTTTGAACAGTTGATTAAAACGTTTGCTTTCATTTTCAACTCTGTTGCCAATTCTTTTTCAGGTTGCCAGGACAACACTCTTGCCAGGATTGTTAAAAACCTTATCCAATAACAAAAATATGCCTCTGCCTCTGAAACTCTTTGAAATCTCTGATGTAATATTATTGGATTCCAACAAAGGTGAGTCAAGCAAAAGAGGCCGTCGTTTGTCTACAGAGGCTCAAATCTTCCTTCTAAATAACTTTCACTTCTTTACAGATGTCGGAGCAAGAAATGAACGTCATCTTTGTGCCACATTCTATAACAAGAATTCAGGATTTGAAGTAATCCATGGATTGATGGATAGAGTCATGCAACTTTTAGACATTGCTCCAACAAGAGATGGTTCAGGTTATTTCATCAGGCCATGTGAAGGTAAGCTGCCCCCCCCCAACATGAGATTACAGAAAATAGCCATTTTGCTTTTTTATATATAAAAAAAAATTTTATTTCCCTTCTAGATGAAACTTTCTTTCCTTTACGATGTGCAGAGATTGTGGTGAGAGACAAGAGTGTTGGTAAATTTGGCATTTTGCACCCAGATGTCATTGCCAAGTTTGACTTGAACTTACCTTGTTCAGCTCTAGAAATGAGTATTGAAGGACTCTGAGTTAATTTCATGTCATGCTTTTGAAGTAAAATTAGTTGTACCTCTTGACAAAAAAAAGTAAAAGAAACAAACATCAAATGTATTCTGAAATAAATTTTATGTATTTCTCTAATAAACATTGAGTTTTTTGTTTTTTTTTGTTTTTTGTTTTTTTTAATATGGAAATTGAGTCAGCAGTGTCCCATCCCTTCGTATTGTAGTTCGTTTCTCACTTTTAAAGCAAGAAATCAGGGGTTTTCTTTGGAAAAAGAAAAGGAAGAGTTGAAATAATTCTTTTTTCCTTCTTCTTTGAAAAGAAGATGGGGTAAGAGGCATAAAAAAAAAAGAAAAAAGAGAGAGAAGGAGGAAAAAAGAAGTCATAGAATTGAATTGTTTTGGTGAAATGGGATAAGACCTCAGCAGACTTTGTCATTCACCTGGTTTAATACAGATGGAACATCCACCCAGGGGTGTATTGTGTGTTTATTTTATTTAGGGGAGGGGGGACAGGAACATTTTTTTTCATTTCTCTCAATATACTTTACAATCTTTTTCCCAAAGTTGGGATGAGAGATGAGTTTATGGGGTTTTTTTTTTTTTTTCAGTTAATATCACAGCCAATTTATTTATGTATGCAAAAAGTTACAATTCTAATTTTTTTTTTTTTTTTAGTGATGCAAAGTGGAAAAAAAAAAAAAAAAAAAAATTGGATAGGGAAACAAAATGTAGGATCCATTGTTGCAACAAATTGTTTGTCACCATTAAGGTTTATCCCCCCGCCATATTTTTCTTTTATATATATATATATATATATATATAAAAAACAGAAATTTGTTTCACTGCAACAACCTTTGCGTTGTGGTGATTGTGTCAAATACTGTTTAGCAAGGAAGAGGTGCCAAACTTCACCTTGCAGAGCAGAATCAGCATCGACAACAGAGTTGGTCATCTTTAAGAGAGGGACCACTGCACAAGAAGGTCAAGTTGTAAAGAAATCAGGCTGGCTGGCTGGCTGGCTGTGTCTGTGTGTGGGTGCAAGAGAGATGTGGGTGGAGGAGGAAGAGGTGGAGACCAAGCTCCTCCTCATTTGTTCAAAGTGGTGACCGAATCAATAGATCCAACATTGAACCTGTCTGAGGCAGCATGGACGGTAAAGCCCAGCACACTTGTGTCCAGCTTTTGCATTCGCTTCTTTTTCTTGCTGCCCTTGCTGCTGCTGCTGCCCCCTCCGCCGCTGCTGCTGCTCTTTTCAGTGTTGCTGCTGCTATTATTATTGGTGTTATTATTGTTGTTGTTGTTACTGCCAGATGATATCTGATCCTGTTTATTGGCTGGGCTGGAATCATTTGCATTGTTGCGACAGTTTGTATCACTGGCATTGTTACGCACAGGACCCCAAATACTTTCCTGAAATAAAACAAGAACTATTATCAAAACTGTAAACATCATTTCACTACTCAATGACAAGAATTAACAGATTCGAGAAAACTTAACTCAAAATCAAATATTTTTCTCATTCAAGAAAGGGAAGGAATAAAAGAACTGACCCCCAAAATCCCACCACTTATTTGCTATGGCTAAAAAAAAAAAAAAAAAAAATTTGATTGTAAATAATGATAACTCTTCAATCCCAGAAATTCAAACTTTTTGTGTTTATGTACTTCAACTGAAAAGAAGGATTTTTTTTTTTTTTTTTTTAAATTTCTATTTCTTACCTCTTCTTGTGGTGGTTGACTTTTCTTGTTGGCTGTTTGCTTGGCTTGTTGACCACTTTTCTTCAATGCATTTCGTTTTTCCCAAAATTGACGAGCAAATTCAGCAGCAATTTTACTCTCCCCCAAATAAGAACGCACATATTCCCGAACCTTTAAAAATAGATTAGATCAGATTAGATTAGATTAAAGAGTTCCTTTGAAAGATTTAAAAAGTAAATAAATTTTAATTTAAAAAAAAAAAAAAAAAATTGTTGTTTACCTCTTGCTGGGAATCAACATCTTGGAGAAAGGCCACAAAGGTTGGAACTAAGAGAAAAGAAAAAGAATTTAAAAACTAGAACTACATGCACACATACGAAAGTTGCCAAAAAGTCCCTAATCTGACCACATACCAATGGCATGCAGTGGGGGAGTCAGGCTCTTCTTAGATGACCTGACAACTGAATATCAGAATTTTTTTTTTTTTTTAAATCTGTTCTTGGTAAACTTCTTGAAGGGACTCAGGATAAATGCTAATACCACCATAAAGATGCCCCAGGTTAAAAGGGTGATCATATATCTTCTAGAGAATTGATGTGGATGTTGGACATCATGCTTTATGCTGACTTCAGCAATCAAATAAACATCTCTATATCGAGATCACATTTTAAATAACCATGTCACACAAATGCTTACCAAGATCAATGAATCAGTTGGGCAGCAGTGACAGATTTATCAGCACTGTAAATGCTGGAAAAGCAAATGTGATCTCAGACATATCAATACAGACTACCTTTTTTTTTTCTTTTAAAAATTCTCCTTTAATACAAGTGATTGTTTGCCTTTATGACAAACCTGGGGAATGACATTTTTCAGAGTGTATTTGAAGCCAAACTACTTGGCATTATGTGGAGTGCTATAATTTACAAGCTTCTTTGGCTGGTACATTCACCAGGTCTGTCCACATTGAATATGTATGGGACAATATCCAACATTCTTCTATTAGAAGTAAGAAAGGTTGTGATTGGGTAAGAGTAGAAAGGCAGTTTGAACAATTGCTATATTTTGAGGCTTATGGATTTTATTTTTTGCAGTAAGACTTAGTTTTCTCAATCACCAGGTCAACACATGTATAGTATTTATCATATATAAGCAAGAGTAAAGGGCCTATATTAAAGGCCCAACTTCAATATAAAAAGTCTTCATTTACAGACAGGTCTCTTGTTCCATGCCTTTGTGCTCAATATAGGATCATTTGCTGGAATCGCATTTAAATTTTTGATGTCAAGTCATGTTGCCAAATATACTATACTTCAGTTTTATACAGAAACTGACAAAATTAAAAACCTTAAGAGTCTTTTTCTCTTCTACAAAGACCAATACAGAAAATTAAACAATTTTTTTTACAATTAAAAAAAAACATGTTTCTTTTTTAACGGTTTAAAAGTGAAAAATGAATATGTCAATTGATTACCATCAACAGAGACGTGAATATTCTTAAGCATAGATTCTGACCAATGAATAAAATCGTCATTTGAATTTGATGACTGAAACAACTTCAGCACACCATCCTAAGAAAAAAGAAAAAAGAGCAAAAATGGAGAAAAGAGTTATGACAAGCAAGAGTAGAAAATTAAAATAAATTCATAAACTTGAGTAGCAGAGAAAGAGAAAAAGTTTTTTTTACCGTGTTGTGTTTGTTCTTGGATGATTTGGATTTCGTGTTTTGAGACAAAGTAGCAGTCAAACTTGGGAAGCTGTTAGAATCACTGTTGAATAAAAGATTCAAAAAAAAAAAAAAAAAAAAATGTATAAGCCAAAAGGTTAGAATGGATACAAAAATATTTGACAATTTTCCCCATTAAATCTTCCAATCACCCATTTCTCCAGAGTAAATAGAAGCTAAAATAAATTTTCTAAAGTAAAACCTTTGACACATAATGCAAAGTTGTGTACATTTGAAAGAGAGGGGAGGGTTTCATGAACACAACAAATATATTTGCCTTAGGATTAATAGAATGCTTTCAGCATCAAGGCATCCATAAAAAAATGATAGCAATAATAAACATATGTGAGATAACAATGGATATTTTTATATATCAAGAACAATATTAGCGGAAAAATGTATGACAAAGTGGAAAAGTTTTCATGTGATGCATTTTGTTCTTTAACAAAAAATATTATATATATATATATATATATATATATATATATATACACACACACACGTATAGGATTGGTGTATTCAGAATAAATTCCAATAACAAAAAAATACTATACTTAAGAGTGCTCAATAGAGTAGAGCAAATATAATTATTTGAAAATTATAACAAATGTTATAAAAATATATATATATATATATATATATATATATATATATATATATATATATATATATATATATATATATATATATATATAAATAATTAATTTGTTTTTTTTCTCTTACCTACCTCATAGTTTTTTGAATTAAAATTTTTATTCTTTGGCATTTATATATTATAAAAATGCCAAAGAATCAAATTTTTATTCAAAAAGTTCAAGAGGTAGGTAAGAGGAAAGGAAACAATAAATTGACCTCTTCCTAACAGAGAAATAATTCAAATCTAAACAGACATTTCACCAAAGGTTTCAAACTAGCAAACAATTGTGTGGGTGTGTGAATATTTCATTTCAGGAAAAAAAAAAAAGTCACAAGATTCTTACAGTGTCGTGGTGTTCTTAGTGGGAGAGGTGGCTTGCTTTTTATTATTTTTCTGAACTTCCCACATAGAACTTGTATTTGATTTGCTGCCTCCCTGAGCTTGCCAAGGATAGTCACAGCCCCAGCCTGAGGTAGGAGATGTTGATAATACAGGGGAAGTACGACCCCACACGGCAATAGCTGACAGTGGCAGAGACACCTGAAATATATATTCAAAAACACCAAAATTATTTTTGTAGAAAGTTCATTTATCAAAGCAAATTGTAGTAAACATTAGCAAAATATACTTGCTAAGTCTGTAAAAGCTCTAGAAAAGAAGCAAACTAAATTAAACTTTATTTTTACATATATTGTTCATAATGTAAACACATCTTGTAAGTAAAAAAAAAAAAAAAAAATTAAGATAGTAACTTCCTTTATTTAGAATAGTTAACTCCACGAAAATGTAAACAAAGAGCATAGCATGATGAAAAAAACGCCGAACTTGACGAAAACAAAATTTTATCGTTTAATGTTCATATTATTATTAAAGAGGAAAGATCAAAGTATTTTGGGGGTATTTTTTTACATTTTTTTTTAATCGTTCCTAGCACATCTGAAATTTTCGTTAAAAATATTGTTTTTCTTTGTCAAAAAAAATGGACAGATAATCCATCATTTTCAATCATTTTTTTCCAGTTTATAAAAAAAGATGAAAATCTGACTTTGATATTCTTTTTAAAATCAATTATCATTTTTTCAAAACTGATTTTAATAAAAACAGAAATTATACTGTTTATTTAAAATATTTTGAACCAAGATTAACTTAGCTTCTGCGCCGAAAAAATGTAATTTGAAAATAAAACAAAGCAGGTCATAACCTTTCGCGTCTTTTGACAGGTGACGAAAGACACATTCATGACGTTTAGATAACTTACGGGAGGATAATTCTTTCTACGGATGGAAGGAAGTGAAATTATTTAAGTGAACAAATTATTTACCTCGTTACTTTTAAGGAAAACTTTCAGCACTCTAATTTTTTTTTTTTTTTTTTTTGTACTTAGCTTTCATCTTTACGTTTATGATGCTT